TGTGTGTGTGTGTGTGTGTGTGTGTGTGTGTGTGTGTGTGTGTGTGTGTGTGTGTGTGTGTGTGTGTGTGTGTGTGTGTGTGTGTGTGTGTGTGTGTGTGTGTGTGTCTGTGTGTGTGTGTGTGTGTGTGTGTGTGTGTGTGTGTGTGTGTGTGTGTGTGTGTGTGTGTGTGTGTGTGTGTGTGTGTGTGTGTGTTTGTGTGTGTGTGTGTGTGTGTGTGTGTGTGTGTGTAAGGGCCGGCCGGCACGTGGAGCTCTGCTGCGGGGAATCGGACGGGGTGGCTACTAGTGCGATCGAATGATCGCTGATATTGCTGCACGTCGGCGGCGTCGGCGTCACTTGCGCTGGACGCAGGCGACTGCTCGATGAGTGCGATGAATGGCACGCTTGCCACGGACAGTGGTATCAGATGGTACGAGTTTCTGTCGCTGTGAACTCCTCGCGGTACCAGGTTTCCTACCAAGGTTGAACGTCGGCTCGTTGGCACGTATAGCCGGTCGATCGAGCACTACCTGGCCCAGTGCCTTCTCGAGCTGATTTCACAGACACCCGGCTTTGAGATAAAACTCAATGGGTATGATTCTACGGTTTCAAAGTATTAGGCAGCTTTGTATTTCCACCCGTATTCGACTGTTCCCTATTTATTAAACTTTGTTCTTCAACTTGGTGAACTTGTTCTCTCAAAGGTTGGCGTGGAAAAGAACTAGTGCTATTCTTCGGACCGGTAGCAGACCATATATTTTCCTTTTCCCAAAATGTTCCTTTCCTTCTTGATCCATTAGCCCCATTCCAAATTTCCTTTCTCCTCCATGATCCGGTGGTAGGTGTTGTTTTCTGTATGCTAAGTGTAGGTGACCTCTTCTTGTAACTTACAAGTACTAATTAGCATTATACTATTTCATGGTTTCATTATTCCGTAAAACATTTTTGTATAGCAAGTGAGTGGAAGTAACCCTGATGCCCCGTAACGTGGGTAGATCACCTTTTCGTGGTACGTTACGGGATGTAAGATCTACCACCGACTCCTAGTCTTGACTACTTCAAACTAGGGGAACAGGATTTTACAGTAATCAAAGGAACACATCTTAGTCCTTGTTACTTTTTATGCCTTGTTGATAGTGATAAGTCCTCGGGTTGCGTGGACCGAGGATGATCTTGAAACAAGGAAAAAATGAGTTAGTTAGTCTTCACCTATGTGATTCCTAATCTTCTATTCGTTGTTTCCTAGTTTGAAGTGGTTAAAGGGTTTGAAGTGGTAAAGGGTTCTGATGCATGGTCATTATCGGTGTCATGTCTTGTTTTTTTTGCTAAGGAATCCAATTTTGACTGACAAAGGGGCGCGCCTTTGGAGGGTGTTTCAACACTCCGAAGGGTATAAATAGCGGGACCTTTCAATTAGAATCGATTCCTTGCGATAAAGGCAAGAATGACAACTGTATCAAAACCGAATACTTCATCATTTCTCAATAGTGATGGAGTAATACGACATGCACTAAACTAAGGACACGGGATATACTACAATAGATCAAATTACTGGTCGCAGTGGTTTTATGTCCCGAACAGAGGAAAAAAAAAAAAATAACCCTGATTCTACGCAAACATTAGATCAATCATTACTGATTATAAACTATCATGGTTCTCAGCCATGAGCGCACCGAACAGCAGTATACTAGTGGATTGCTGTCTCGTTCGGTTGAGTGTTCGCTCTTTATAGCACTGCTATCGCTCTGCTCGAGCTTTTAACTTAGGGCAAAGTTCCCAAACGGTAACAAAATTTAGTCGATTGCTGAATTTATACTCTCAGGGAACAAATACACACAATGGCTCTAATGTGGGCCTATGGATCTAATATTGGGCCCATCGCTAAAAATCTGCTATTTACCAATTTTATCTAGATGAACGCGTTATTGAAAATGTAGTCGATTGCTGAATTTATGTATGGGCCCAAATTAGGGGCATTTAGGCCAACATTATATGTTTCTGCAAAGTTCGTTTAACCTCCTCTTCTAGGCTAAATGCCCGCACCTTGAACTTAACGCTATCCATCAAATCCGAAGGGAGTGACTCTATCTTAGATAAAGGAAAATTTTGCTTTGTTGTTGTGAGATGCGCGCACACTTATTAGATAGAAGGAAGATTGATGAAGATTTTGAAGATTTCCTGAAAAAGGTGGAGAGCGATGCTAGTAGATGGATTTAGATGCAAGAGATAAAAACAGATTTTTCGTAGATTCGCTATCGTGAGATTTTTTGACGATCATAAATTTAGATTTAGATGTGTCGCACCCTACGATAAAATCCTGTGAAACACTTGCGCCATATTTCTTACACACTTTCATCCACTCATTCTTCAAATCTTTGTCGTTTTTTAAGACCTTCCCTGTTTTCCGGAGCTTGCCCTTCATAAGCACCCAGAATTTTTCTATTGGACGAAGTTCTGGCGAGTTTTGACGGATTTGCCTCCTTCGGCACAAAAACATCGTTGATTTCGTACCACTCCATCACACGATGTCAGATCCGGCCAAAACAGAGTGTCACCTTCGTGGGACCGAAGGAAGGACAGCAGGTGCTTTTGGAGGCATTCTTCTTTATATATTTGGTCGTTGATGGTGCCGGTCGTTATGAACGGCTTACTAAATTGCTAAATTTGCCGCACTTACAAATTGCCTGCCACTCTAAGTACTTCTTGGCAAGTTTGTCGAACTTCTTCTTCCGGAGCTTCTCCGGAACATCCAGGCGAGACTTGCCGACGAAAACCTCCAGTCTGGGGTTCTGCTTGGCGTCCGCTTTAATGTACGTTTCGTCGTCCATTTTGATGCATTTCGGCTGCACCAATCACTCGCGGTACAGCTTCCTGGCCCGGGATGTTGCCACCGTATTCTGTTTATCGGTGCGGTTAGGCACTTTTTTTTACCTTAAAGACAGACCGCTTCATTGTCTGCTGGACGAACTAGACGGAAGAACTGACCTTCTCGGCCACGTCCCGAATCGAAAGGTTCGGATTGCGCTTGAAGTAATCCCTCACCTTCCTTGCGTTCACGAGGTCTTCTTGAACGATTTTACCACACGCGACACGGTCGAATTGTCGATTCTAAACTGTTGCGCGATCCACCTGTAGGACTGGCCTGGATTTTCCACGACCGCTCCCATAATTTTTGTCGTAGCACTTCTTGCTTGGAAGCCATCTCGGTAACCACTTGACAGATTGTGACGAGATTTTGTACATGTAAACATTTTTATAGACTAGTTTTACTCAAAATTTCATCAATTATACCCATGCAATAAAAAGTTATACACAAAAGAAAGTGTTGCATTTTTTTCGAGTAAAATCTTTAGATGGGAAAAATTATGCAGAACAACTTTGTCGAATTAGACATTTGCGCTAAATGTCATTAACTTTGAACTTCTCATACACAAGCTCATACACAGGCCTTTAGGTATGGGTGGTGTAGAAGCCAAAAGTAAATGGTGGTTAACTTTTTGCACAGAAGTCCAATCAAGTTGCGGTCTTGAACTACGTTGTGCTGCACAGTTTTCCTAATCGAAATCTCAAGTTTGATCATAATTGAGCATTTTTTAATATTTAAAAGCATCAAAATAGTTTGTATCGCTGCGTTATCTTTACGACCAACTTGAACTATTTTTATCAACCAAATTGTAATCCTAATAAATTCAAGAAACTTCACTGAAGATGTCAACTCAATTGGATGCAATCCCAAAGCGTTATTATTTTTTCCCCTGCTAGATTTAATTCCTGCCCCACTGTGCATTGTTCCCCCGCATCCAAGTTGGGATGTCGGGAAAACGATGTCAGCAGGTTGCTCGTGTTAGCGGATGTTCGTAGTACGGATACGAGGTTGCAGCAGCAGTTGTTGTTCGCTGCTTAGAGCTGCTTATAGAGCGAAAGAAATGATGATAGTTTTTCTCGGAGACCATGTTTCCCGTCGTCGTCGTCGTCGTCTTCGTCATCAACCTCGCCATAAAGCCTAGGTGCATGTGTCACCCCCGCTTTCAGAACAGCAACCTACAGCACGTGCTACTGTGGCAGAGCAGAACAAACAGAGCTTAAACGGTGGAAGGGAAACCCTTTCGCTCGGACTTTTGCCAGCCTGAAACAGGAATTTTGCGAAACCCTTTCTTGTGTGACTAGGTATTGATGTGACTCCTGCAAAACGATGAATGATTCTGAATCTTGCCCTGCAGACCAGCATGGATGCTGTGTTCTGCAGATTCTTTTCAACGGCACTGTAGGTAGTGCAGTTCCCCACATATTTCAAATCCCCAAAAACTCCAAAACTACCGGTTTGACGAAACGGATGCTGATGGCGTTGAAATCCGAATGATGAACTGTTTCGTTCTTGTTTTCTGCAGCAGCCGGTGCTGTGCACGCGGTGAACGACAAGAAAACGGAACCAAACATCGCCGTTCAGTTGGTACGGCAGCAGAAAACCCGGATTTGAAAGTTTTGCCCTCCGCACTTTCGGCTGGTGGCACACTGCACAAGAAATAAAAAGCGATCGGGTATGGTGATTTTTCTTTTCCCGGGCTCTCTTGGTCCAGTCTGTTGAATGGAAATCGTTTTTCCCAAGCGTCGTCGTCGAACGCGATTTTTGGAATGGGAGTCCGAGTCTGCTTGGAGCCTGGAATGGGGTGCATGTGCTGTTTTTAAGTGCCGTTCTCTGTTCCAATCCAAACGGGTGAAGCTTTTGTTTCAACATGTGAGTGTGTTTGTGTGTGTGCGTTTTGTGCTCTGCTATTTTGACGACGTCCGCCAACCTCCTTCTCTACTCTGCTTCCGGAACGGTTCGGATTAGCTTTGACAGCACTTCATCATTATTGTGTACCAGCTGTTGGCTGTTTATAGTTTTTCCCAGCTCAGCTCAGCTCAGCTCAGCAGTCGGTCGAATGGGGAATAGTGCGTTCCTTCCGAATGATTGGATTCGAAATGTTCACCCGGATCTACAATGCTTTTCTCCTTCTCCTTTCAATTTCCCCTTTCAGACCCCATCGCAGTATGTCCGTTCGAATGAGACCAGTGTGATGGAGTACGTCCAGAATCTCGCCGACACAGCCGATATCTTCCTGTCGCACGAAGGATTCGGTTCATCGACGCCTATCCCGGCACCCAGTGTCAACGGGCTGGGACTGAAGCGGCGAGCGTCCGATAAGTAAGCTTTCTCGAATAAATCCCTTTCCGGGGACTTTGATCACGATTGTGCTCTTTTTGTTTTTTTTTTTCAACCGAACAGCTTATACGATACTCACCAAGCGGGACCGCCGGAATGGGCCGACTACGTACTGCCACCGACCAAACGGCCCCATCCGTCGCTGCTGCTGGCAACCGGAACGCCACAGCTCTATCCCACACATCCCGCACTGTTCGAGTACCAGAACGGAGGGCTTCATCCACATTCCGAGGGACTGGTAAGTGGCTATCGACATTCACACAACTGATTGCAATACAAATTTGATAGTAGGTACTCCATGCTTTCAATGATCGTATATGGATCTACGGCATTTGCTAGTTTCCTTTCCAAACAGAAAGTGTCCAAACATAGTAAAGTTGTCTGACATGACGATTAAAATGCACAGAGGACAAGTAAATGAGGAGGAAATATATATTTTGAAATACAATGTCTTCCTGGTTAAAATGCTTTCAGGGTAATCTATAAACATATAGGCTGTCCCAGAATGTCTATGCACGATTTTGGAACACCCCTGTTTGTTTCAGATAACGTTTAAACAGCTGATTATCACTGTGAAGCATTGTTTACATTTCGGCCAACAATTCCGTGCATCGCTATTCTTTTCATTGCCGTGAAAGCGCAAACAGATCGTGCACAAATGGTGGACTATCCCCAGCATTTCTCTTACGTCAATTATCGAAATTGGAAGGTGTAACCATCGGAGCTGTTCGAAACGCGATTCGGAAGCTAGACGAGGAAGCAACATTCCAGGGCTAGTAAAAATCTGGACGTAAACCGAACCCTGTTGAACAAAATCTGGATCAGAAATTCGTGCAAGCTTTCATTCGTAAAACAGGACTTCGGTTCAAGACGTGGCTAAAAAATTGGGATCCTCGAACGAAGAGTAATGTCCAGCGGGCCAAGGCAAGAATGGGTCTAAACACGTATAAGAAGTAGAAGAAGCCAAAGCGATGTAAAAAACCATCCACATCTGTCAAACCGAGGGCTCGGAAGTTATACGACCGATTGCTGCGTGGAAAGTCGGTGTGCGTAATTCGAGAATGCCTGACCATAACAAACTATTCTAATAGCGAATTCGCAGGCTTGAGAATACATTAGAAAAATTCCTTCGGGAAGATCAGCGATGTCAAGTTCTTCCTGTTCGTTGTCCAGGAGCTGCAAACAAAATGCAATGCAATGCACAAACATGCAATGCAAACAGCTACAAAGCATTTGCCGTTGTACGATTAAAATATCACCACTTACCTGAACTACTGGAATCTCCGTCGGGAATGTCTGGAACATTCGAAGCAGTATCTAAACATTTAATCTCAATTCGCAACGTTTCAAATCCTGAACAGTTCAAATCCTCCCAATTCTTCTTCTTATTTCCTTTATTTAACGTCGGTCTCTGTTCCGCAATCTAGTGCCAATCACCGACCGTCATCGATTGCCATCCATTGACGGCAATCGAATGTGCAGGAAGGCAACTTCCACACCTGCGTAAATCCTCCCAATAGATTAGTGCACGAAGATTTGCTGCACTCTTCTCTCACCCGTAAATTTTGACAGTTTTGGGTGGTTTGTTTTGGCTCCCATTCGTTGACATCTCTTTTACTCAGACTGATTGGAACCAAAAAGTGAGGTAAGGGACCGTACACTGCTCTATTAACGCAACGATCGCAAAACAAACATAAAAATCAGTTCCAACATTTCATTAGGGCGAAAGTGCTTTTGTAAGCAATGAATCCAATTGCCGATTTCTCGCAAATCAAAACTCACTCTTGCAAATTAGCTATGCCCGCTGGTCGAGAAAACATTTCTCTACCTGGTGGTGTTTTAAATTGCCATGTGTGAGCTCTTATTCGTGAGAAATCGATGACCAAAGGATTTGCTTACAAAAGCAATTTCGCCCGTTTGAAATATTGACATTAAAGTTACATTTTGTTGCATGTGTGTGTGCATGAGAGCAGTGAGAGTAGATTTTGTTTTGGCTGCGTACTTTTTGAAGATCTCTGATTCTAGTTTAATACGCTGAAATTGGGGTTTTAAAGCAAAATTCGAGATTAAAATTGAGGGTAATACGGCAGGTACCTACATATCTTGTAATTAGTGCAATTGCAGACAAGTTTCTACACAAAACCGGTATTCAGCGTCAGTTTGAGCTGCTCGAATTAAAATGATCAATGCATCTTATCAATCGAGCAGATCAAAATGCGTATCCTACGATTCTAACTTTACCACTGAGAAATATTATGAGAATATTTCTAGATGAACATTTCAGAAGGTCCTATCTGCATTGATCGATTCCCCTAATCGACTTTCTCTTTCGTTAATAACTCAGCTGTTAAACCTTTCCCGGATGTGCTTGACGTTTTGGACACTAGATATGAACCTCCTTTGCATAGCAGTGATTATCAAAAGAAAAAGTCGATGAAGAGAATCGATCAAAGCAGATAGCACCTTTTGAAATGTCCATCGAGATTTCTTCTAGAACTACGAGAAAAGAGGGTTGCCGCTTTTTCTTAAAATTTCTAGTAGAAGGACGCCCCAAATTCGAGTAGCTACATTTCCTACCTCTTGGTATTTCGAATGCTTTGAAACTTGTTGTATTCCAAGAAAAAGTATCTTAGAATCACTGCTAGAAAACTGCCTTAAAACTGCTCGACTACACTGAGGCAAATAATCTTAAGAATTGCATAAGGCTCGACTTATGAACGACACGTGACTTATGAATGTTTATCATCAAACATGAGGTAGCTCTTATTTACCTTTAACAATTTCATTTTTACAAGCGTCGAAAGACGAGTTGTCAATACACGGTCCCTTAATCTCAACGTCCATGATTCGGTTCCAGTCTGCTACGTTTAATTTATTTGTTTGTCAACATTATTTTTCATAAGGCATAACAATGAAATTCATACTGATTTCTTGTGCCTAAAATTCATAAATGGGGCGTCAGCGTCCAATTTGAATCTGATCAAAATTTACGCGGATAAGGCGATTTTTATACGGTGAATGAGAACGACCCAAATTTGAGTTTAGTTCACTCATAATCGCCAAAAGTGCAGGAACTCAGCGATGAGTAAAATTTGTCTAATGTTTTCCCAGGTTTTTCCAGGATTTTTCAGGGAAAAATTCCCGAATTTGAGAAAAGTAAAGATTGGATTCACTCAGTCTATTGGTACTACTCCGAGACTGAATAAAATTTTCGTCAATTTTCCAGGCAGATTTTTTAGGTTTTCCACACTTTGAACTGAAAGAGAATACTTTCTACTTTGAACTGAAAGAGAATACTTTAGAGAACATGAATATGAAATACAAATCGAATTTGCTGTAAACAGAGTCATATTATCATTTTTTAATATCGTGCTTAGACATTCTGGGACACCCTATATATTAACATCACCTTTTGGAGCACCGTTCATTCATTTTAATATAGAATCCTTCCGGTAAGTTCAACTAGCAGCGCCGGTGGTGTAGTGGTATGCGTGATTGCCTCTCATCCCAAAAGTCCTGGGTTCAATCCCAGTCGGCGCCACCGAGATTTTCTGAGGCATAAAATCTCTGATCACGCCTGACTTCGCAAGAGAAGTAAAGCCAACCGGTGAACACTCGTGTTTATTTTAGTTACCATGGAGAAGTAATTTGTGATTAGCCCCGGTCCCTTTCGAATTGTATCATTATTTATGAACGGCCTTATATTTGAAATGACGTTTCACATTCAACTAGTGATGTCCGATTTTCATTCGAATAATCGTTTAATCGATTAACGAACCGAAAAGTAAACTATTTATAATCGGTTAGATCATACCGATATAAGCATTAACATCTCCACAGGATCATCACCGATCGTTTCAAACATGTGCTGCACTCTCATTGGTGGAAAAATGCCAGCACAGCGAACAAAAAATAATCGATAAGTTGTTAATGGAGTAATTTAAAAATTGGGGCATCTCTGATTTTGGTGTGATTGTTTTGATAAAAATGAGCGCAAAATTTCATCTCTTGCGAGAGGGCAGCAAAACCACAAAATTACCTTGAATACGGGGGGTTCTCATTGGATCAAAGGGACCGTGAAAGAAGACACTAAAATATAAAGTTTTTCTTCCGACAGTTTCATCTTAGTATTCATCTTTGGTAAAGCCGCTGGCCCGGTCCGTAAGTTTTGATGGGTCGATAGGTAGAGTCCAGAGTACTGCCTCCCTGGCGTCGGTAGCATTGGTACTCAGTACGGAAAACAAGATCGACGGAAAACAAATCAAGAAATAATAAAAAAAAAAGAATTGATGAACTACTCAATGTTAGTCTTCTATGTTAAAAGAATGAACAGTGCTCCAAAGGGCATCGCAATCCCTGCAAGAAGCCATCTTTGATCCCTTCAAAACGTGCAAGTAAGGTAATTTAACCCGTAAAAGCCCAGGCCCTGGTCCAGACTGTTTGCCACCATCGTTCATTAAGGTTGCGTCGATCACACCTATTCACAAAGCTGGAAACATCCACAACGTTGAAAATTATCGCGGAATTTCGATTCTAAGCTGCCTCCCAAAAGCTCTGGAGAAGATCGTATATGAGGTCGTATATCAAGTGGTTAGGTTAGGTCAATAATTACCGAACATCAGCACGGCTTCGTGAGGAAACGCTCTACAACAACCAACTTAATGGTGTTTGTCAACTCGCTGATCAACTCCATTGAAAAACGACGACAAGTTGATGCGATCTACGTGGACTTCAGTAAGGCGTTCGATAGGGTTCCACATAGGGAGCATTAACGGTGTTAATTCGCCTAGTTTCGAGCTACCCTCTGGTGTTCCCCAAGGTCTGGGGCCTTTAATTTTCATCCTGTTCGTGAACGATCTGTGTAGTCGACTGTGTTCTTCGAAACTTATGTTCGCCGGTGACTTAAAGATCTTTCGTACAATTAAGTCAAGACTTGACTGTTGCGCACTCTAGAAGGATATTGATTCCCTTTTGCGCTGGTGTACATTGAACGGTATGCAGGTTAATGTCACAAAATGCTGCGCAATATCTTTCAGCCGTTCACGCGAGCCCTTACGACATGACTATAGGATAGGACTCAGTAGTTTGCTCTTCGTTTCTTCAGTTAAGAATTTGGGTGTTATCATCGACTCTAAAGTCAGATTCAATGAGCACATCTCCATGATAACTGCTAAAGCATTCGCCACATTAGGTTTCTTGAAACGAAACACAAACGCATTCCAGGACATCTACGCGCTGAAATCACTATACTGTGCTCTCGTCTGCAGTCTTCTAGAGTATGCTGTTGTTGTGTGGGCACCCTTTCACGCTATTCAAGCTAACCGAATCGAAGCCATTCAGCGAAACTTCTTAAGATACGCTTCACGTGTTCTGCCCTGGAACGATTCGGTAAATTTGCCGCCTTACGAAGAACGGTGCAGGCTGATTGACCTGGACACGTTGGCAGCAACGAGGAAACTACTTCAGCGACTCTTCCTGTTTGGATTGCTTAACGGTGACGTGGATTGCAACTCTCTTGTGAGCCAAATCTACATCAATGCTCCTCAAAGAGTTCTACGTAGTTACACGCTTCTGTTGCAACCTACCCATCGGACCAACTATGGATTCAACGAACCGTGGACTTTGTGCTGTCGTGTGTTTAATGAAACGTTTGATGTATATGATTTTAACATTAGTAAATCTACTTACAGGCATAGAATTCGACACATAGCCTAGAAAATATCTGTACAACTTTATGTTGAAGATTTAATTAAATAAAAGAATTGAAGAAGCTCAGCGAACTTCTTAGAAGATCAGTGTTAGTTAACTAGTTAGGCTTCTTTGTCATATTTCCCCATTTGTATACTTCACTTACCACGATTCCCTGTTGAACATCCAAATTTTACATTTTTACAGCATTCCATTCACCGTGACGAGCGTGACCTGCGGATACCCTCCAACGATAGTCACCGAGCATCGAGAATTCCTCCGGGCGGTGGTAGTGGAGGCGGCGGCGGTGGCGGTGGTGGTAGCAGCAGTATAATTGGAGCTGCACCTGGCAGCACTGGCAGTGTAGCTGGCGGCATAGGTACTGTTGGAGGTACCAGCGGAGAGGAAGAATGGAAAAACATCCACACTATGCTGACGTGCATATCGGCAATGGTTGAGAAAACCAAACGGGCCATTTCGATTCTGCAGCAAAGAGGCATCGAAACGCACGCCGCCCGGGATCATCAGGACAACTCGATAGCGGACATCAAACGACAGACGGAGGAGAAAATTGCCGAATTTCGGCGAAGCGCTGAGGAGTCCGTTAATCAGGTGAGTTGGAATGAGAAGGTTTTGGGGGAGATAGGTGACTTATTGCTTTTCTTCCTCAATGGCAGGTCAAACGACAAGCGGTGATCGAAATTCAGAGGGCGGTGGCCGCTGCCGAGGCGAGAACGATCGAGATGTTCGCCCAGGAGCGGCTGAAAATGGAGAAGATGTTCTCCGATATCCACCGGACCAGCACGGATCCAGACTCGGAAGGACCAACCAGTGGAAGCCAGAACGTTAGTACTCTTGTAATATCGTCCGTTGGGTGTAATACAGAGCGTAGCTCTCTAATTTCAGTTGTTGTCTACTTACAGGCGTGCTGGAATTGTGGTCGAAAAGCTAACGAGACGTGTTCGGGATGCAACCTAGCCCGGTATTGTGGATCTTTCTGTCAGCACAAAGACTGGGATCAACATCATCAGGTAATTAGGTTGTATTTGACCACCTATCTGCAGATTAATTCAACAAAGGTTTTACTTTCCAAGGTCTGCGGAACATCCCGAGCGGAGAACGCCTTCCAGAAGCATGCAGCGAGCGCTCGAGCTGCTCTGTCGTCACGTTCCACAACGCCCCAACAGTCCCAGAGCAGTAACAGTACATCAAATGGGACGGCGGCCGTTGCAAAATGACGGACTAAACCACTGAAACCTAAGAAGAAGTATCTATGCTAGTCAAATTAAAACAAACCCAATTCATACGACGATTATGGAGGAGTTAAGATGAGCCAACCATTTCTTGCATTAGAGGAAGAAGTCAGGCTAATATATCTTTAATTTCTACACCATAAGACTAAAACAGGAAATAGACATATAGCTGATTTCGGTTCCTTGAATAAATACTAGCCAAAACATGACTTTCACCTGTATTTTAGAACTTTAGTTGACGAATATCCAAATGAAAAGTGCAATATATGATAATGAAGGTGGGTAACATCCTCTTCAAAATGATCAAAACTAGTGGAGAGGATAGGAGAAATAAGAAATTCGATTGAAAATAAAAAAAAATACGTAGATGTGAAGTTAAATTACGACAAAGAAACACTCATTTTAGAATGTTAGCCCGTTTACTCCCAAGAGCACCGCTTCACAACCCCGTCAATCGTTTCCTCTCGTTTTCGAGTCAATAGGTTTATAATCAGGGCAACCCTAGTGTACTGAAATCGAAGCACGTGCTTCGAAGCGTACTGCGCCGAATCCAAGTTCATTCTCGCTTCGGTTACGGTATTTGTTTGAGCACGTGCTTTTCTGTTTACCAAATAGATATTCACTCAACTCTTTCAACAGAAATACACAGATACAACAATAGCCATGTTCGCAGTCAATACATAGTAGTAGCAAACCAAACAAAAAAAAACAGTAATTAACCTAGCAAACAGCTCCCATTGATTGATTCGATAGCACAGTGTAGAATAATTTCTCAATACACCCACACACACAAATAGTGAGGCTAGAAACCATAGAAATACACGCAGTGACTCCAAAGATTGACACACGTTCTTCTAGTTTTAAACCCTGTAGACACACAAGATTACCATTCATTCGAATTTTTTCTAAGATCACAGTGTAGAAATAAAAACAAGCAAAAGCTATCGGTAGCGCAGTTAATTATATTACAAGAACAGAAAACCATTGTTAATTATTTATTTATTGAAACCTAAGTTGGCATAGTTTGTACACTAAAGCAAATAAAAAAAAAAAGTTTGCAAATTCTCAATTTTCCGTAAGCGTGATTAGATCACCGTTGAAACTTATCAGTCAGAAATCCCAAGTCTAAGTAATTCTCAAAAGCAGAAAATAACACTAAATGCTAAATATTCGACTTATAGGACGCATTAGCTGTGAATCTTATGCTGGTACATACATTTTTTGTTGCGATTGTAAAACAGGATGGGTAAGTAAAACAAAAAATCAAACGTAGGGATTCCATTGTAAATAGATAACTCTTTGTCAAGTTGTAGCGTCTATCCCCAATGTTCACAAAACACACACACACACACACACACAGAGGAATACACTCATTCACGTTCGATGAAAATTAAACAATATCACATGGGGGAAAACATACACACACACACATTAGACTTAGTGAATTTGAACCCGACGGAATCTGAAGAAAAATGAAATCACCGAAGAAAAAAAACTGCAAATAAAGTCTCATTTGTTTCTAAAAATAGGTGTGATGGTATTCAATTTTGAAAGAATTTTCCTGCTTATTAATTCATTAAATGCAATACTATTGAACAAAATTTAAACAAAACAACTCAACTTTACTTATAAAATAAAATGACGAAGAAGAAGATCGCATGATCAATCTCAGAAACTAGTCATATCTTCTCTCGACAGCAGAGAGCCTACTTTGTCGGTAATGGTGGAAATCCTGGAAGAAAATTCTTCAAAAATATCGTCAAGCGTATTTTGTATGCACACTAGCACCCTCTATCAGGCACATTCCCAAGAATTGGTTTGCAACCGGAGCATCATGCATTTTTTCATTAGTTGCTTTTCCCTCGATCTGTCAACACATCAACTGTGTTGAATAAAACAAAACAGATGAATTTTGCAGAAATAAGAACCCTTAGAAGATAGGGTTTTTGATCTAATTTCCGTCCTTCTAAGCACAACCCGCATTCTACCTCTTTTTGAACGGGTTTGAACAAAAAATTAACTCTTCAAAAAGCTATGATTGTGTTGGTTTATTTCCTTTAAATTCCGTTATAATTGCTTATATTTTGACAGATACGGGTATTTCGTCTACTACTTGCAGACTTCATCAGTGCCAAGTGGTGTTGAGTACTTGGCACTGATAAAGTCTGCAAGTAGTAGACGAAATACGCGTATCTGTCAAAAGATAAGCAATTATAACGGAATTTAAAGAAATAAACCAACACACTCAAAGCTCTTCACAAAAAATGAAATATTTTAGTCATAGATGACTTCTAAATTTATTCACCTTTTCATACGTACCGTTTGATTTGAAAAAGAGTCACAAATTGTTGAGATATTGTTTAAAATCTAATATTGCTTCTTGATTCTAAATTCGTCCTACAATTCCGTCCAAACGCATTGAAACACCATTAGATTTTCTTCGTCCTACGGTACCGCTAAATCCTATTAATGTTGTAGCTAATGAACTAACGCGTTGGAACAAATCTAGTATTGATATGTGCACGGTGAAATCATTGATATTATTGATCTATTCTGATCGATAGAACGAAAATTGGCGATTACAAAGAAGTAGCGCTCTACCCTATTTACAGAAGCTGAGACTTTTATTAGGAATTTGTTTTGTTTGTTTAGTGCGTTTTTCTTTTGCTGGAAATAAGTTTTCAAATGTGATTATGCATCACTTCTTCTTCTTCTTCTTCTTCTTATTCTTCTTCTTCTTCTTCTTCTTCGCATTTCAAGCTTATTGAATATCGCATATTAGCTTATTGCGTGCTCTCAACTTAGTGTTCTAGATGCACTTCCACAGTTATTAATTGAGAGCTTTCGATGCCTGTTCCATTTTTGCATTAGTATAATTGTGTGGCAAGCAAGTCCAATCATACTCTATGCCCAGGGAAGTCGTTAAATTTTCCAACCCGAAAAATTCCTAGACCGGACCGGGAATCGAACCCAGCCACCTCCATCATGGTCTTGCTTTGTAGCTGCGCCTTTACCGACTGAGCAAAGCGAGGCCCCATGCATCACAAATGAGTGCCATTTGTACCACCGCTCATAATAAACAAATATAAAATGTATCAGTCAAGGATATTCATGGTGATATATTGAACATCACGCTTATTCTGGTCAACTCAAAATTGAGTCGAATGTACTCATCTCAGCGGCAAGTATGGCTACTCAAAATTGAGTAGCCTTATGTTGACTCACTTTTGAGTAAACTTCGTTCTCACAGACTGAGTCAAATCCACTCGCCGGTATTATCAGTTGCGGGGAGAGTTTTTGTTTTGATTTTTATTCAAGGAGATGGAAATTGCCTTCTTCGGATTCATTCTACCGGAGCAAAAAACGGTTCAACACCGTTTCCCTAAGCAATTCGTACTTACCTGAAGGCATTTCAGCCGGTTTTGAGTTACATTTTCTATGAGGTTTCCTGCGACATGACTGGCATTTTTTTCCAAGTCCAGGATTTTGCTGACTGAGTGGCTTTTACTCAGTTTGACATTTCTCGTTAACTCAATTTTTGACAACTCGATACATCGGACGAAAGTGAGTACGATCGACTCACCTGGTGAGTAAGCAGAAGTTAGCGTGATGACCAAAACTGGTATACGTTGATAGAATTGTAAGATTGCCGCAAAAGCTCAACGCAGATGTCGCCACTGCACGATGATGATAATGTTGACAGACTGCATATAAAATTCGTGAAAATTAGCATTAAATCATAATTTTCATCAAGCCTGCGTGAAATCCTTCCAAAATAACATTCGAATTGAAGAAGAAAACGTTTTTACGATCAAACTGATGTGCATCTTTGACTTTTCCAAGTGAACTTTCATAAGATATATTAATTTCATTTCACGGCTCCATCAATGCTGCATCGTAAACATGATGTAAACAGAAGTAAATTGCTCAATTACTCAAAATAAAGATGATTTGTTATCTTGTTATCACTTTGAAGACCATCTAGCACCATTTTATAGTAGGGTGCGAGTTGAGTAAATCAAGTTCCGGTGCGTTTTCCGTCGAAAATTGTGAGTATCAATATGTATGCTTAAAAAAGGCCAAAATGAACATTTATTGAATATTGGCGTCCTATACAACCAATTCTCTATTATCACCAGCATGATACAACCTTTCCTAAGTAAATTCACTTAATTTCCACTTTCACCTTAGTGAAAATCGCACATATTAACTATTTTCTGAAAAATGCAGATGCGCAGAAGCAGTGTTGGAAAAATCATTTTCAACAAAAGTTCTATCACAGCTCATTGCAGAGATAAATCCCAAAGGAACTTCTCACAAAAAGTTCGCGAACGAGAGATGATAAAAAGTTCATGAAAGCGTAGAGCGAGAGAAATTTTCATTTCGTATCTCGAAAGATCTTTAGTCTCTCCATCTCACATCATTTCACACGTACTCGTGATTCGAACCAACCAAATATCCCCTCAGCTTTGTTCTTTTTTTCCTGCGAGTAAAGGTAGGCGATGATCACGCGAGAGTGTCTGTTTGTTTTCTTCTCGTTCTCCGATATTTTTCGCATCCTTCACATAAAATTCAATTTCCAGAGAACTTTGAGATTTGGGCGTAATTGCTTTTGTAAACAAACACGTCATTCAACGATTTCTCACGAACCAAAGCACAATCTAGCGAACTATACTATACCAAATGAATCATTCCTCTTCCTGTCTGTGTTGTTAGTTTTTTTAGATTGAACTTTAATTCACGATAAATCGGCGAATGAAGTGTGTGTTTACAAAAGAAATTACGCCCTAATCTCAAAGTTTTCCAGATTTATTTATAGTTTTAGTTCTCAATACAACCAGCTAATAGTAGATACTTGTAACTATTCACCAAGAGTCTAATCTTTGCTGACCAAATCATCATTTGTGGCTGTACTCTTCGACAAGAAGAACTATGCTATTAGTGCGAAGTACAGTTAGACCAACAATCAATACGAAACTAACGATTTTAAATTGGCTCACCACTTTAGTAGCCTATTGGTCCCAAGCAAACGATTAACGTACCCTATTCTAGTTGAAATTCTATTACTACACTATGTTTGTTTTGATTCGCTATGAAAGTTTGACAGATAACATCAGGGGTGTGTGGATTCATGCAGAACATGCAGGGGTGAGTGAAATAGCTTGGGACTGCTTGGGACCGTTGTTCTGGTACTGAGTGAGCCAAAAATAATAAAGATTTTCTTCGGGATCCAGTGGTCTTAGAGTTACCTCTATGGTTAGACCACTGAGATTAGCGCTTAGACATGTTTAGTGTAAGCTAGCAAGCATTCTGTTGATTAGTCTTACTGCATTGAGAACATGCTTATTAGGGTGGTTCAAAATATCGGCTTTGCTTCACTAAGCTCAATCGATTTTTAATCAGGTCCAGATAATTCTCCCAAAATTTGAGCTTATTGGGTTGCGATCTCTTTCTGCATTAGCCATCTAAAATTTATAAAGGCATTACTATGGGAAAAGTGATTATTTTGTTCACCTCGTCTTTAAATTTCGCCATAATGATCTACCAATAAGTTAGCCTTGTGTACTCATAGGAAATTTTCTCAGCTACATTTTTTTCTAAAGACCACTTTTTAATTGAACATTGAGGAAATTAGTTATTAATTGATTTCTAATCTGCTCACTTTCTGATTTGATCACTCGACTGCATTATAAGGTACAGGGCAGCAATGTAACCCAGTAGCTCGCCCGATAGCTTGAATTTCCACACAACCTTGAATGAAAATATTAAATTTGCTGGTCACTGGTGCCATAAAGCTACTGTAACTTTTTTCATGGATCTCAAACTGCAAAAAAATATCTATTAAACATCGATTCTAAAAAAATAGTTTACTTGATATTTTTTATTCAGCAGGTGTATTCACTTGGGAATCCATCACTTCGCAAGTTGAAAGTATTTTGAGATTGTCTGTAAATTTCAAGTCTTGCAATACTTGTGGATGAAAAATTTAGATCGTTCTCAATCTGTCACTATATGAAAAGCTCAAGGTACATGGTTACTTTGATTAATTTTGTGTTCATTTCCAGCCAACTGGTAACAATTTTTCTTTTTTTTTCAGCCTATATTTTTTACAGTTTTAATGGACATTGAATAACCTGTTTAAATTTTTTATCATCCTTAAATGCACACTAAAAAGATGTTTTTGTCAGATCCTTGGTCAGCAAATAAAGCGTTTTGAAGTTCAGCATTGCAGTAGTCCCGCATACCTTATGGTTTTACATAGGGAGGGTCTAGACCCTTTCTAGTTTTACATTGTTTTACAAGAATTCCCAGTCATGGGAGAGGACAGTAATAAAGGGCGAACACGAAATTATTACGACACATTCAACAGGGCATAACTTTTTTACCATTGGGTAAAAATCAACCAAATTTTGCACACTTTCTCATTGATGTGTATTGTGTACATGCTGTCAAACTCGAAGTCGTGT